CTCTTTCTCATTTATATAATTGTTGTGGTCTAATAGGTCTCCTAGCCTCAGGCAAATCCCCTCCAATTTATCCTCCACTTTGGTATTTTTCTAAATCATCTGTCTATTTCTGCCATTCTTCTGCTGTAGCCTGCTAGCAGCTCCCCATCCCTGCCAGGAAAAATCCTCTAATGTTCAGTATGGCATGCAAGACCCTCACATGGCAGCCTGTGCTGCTCTCCAGCCTCATGCCCCATCTCTTCTTTCTACTGTGTCCAGCCTACCCGGTTTGCTACTCTTGCTAATTCAAGGTCTTCCAAGCCTTCCAGGAACATTCAGGGTCCATACCTCTTCTCAGTCTCCTTCCCCAAAGTCTATCTAAAATGCCCTGAGTGCAAATTCCTTCTTAGCTGTCAAGAATCAACTCACAAGGTAACTTCGTTTGACCTTCTCTTGAACCCTACAGAGAACAAATCTCTTTCCTTCCATGGGCTCCCTGGCATCTGGTACATGCTGATATTAGAGCATACATCACATTGCTTCATAATTATTGCTTGCAAGGTTGTCTCCCAGACAAGAATGTAAGCTCCCCCAGAAGATAATGCCATATCACATTCCTCTTATAAACTTAATTCATAATACAGTGCCTGGCACACACTTAGAAGTTCAGTTAAATGGAGTTAAATGAAGGCACTGATCATCTTGTCCCTTTTTTGTTTAGAATAGTTATCTTCCTCACCAACCATTTACTGATAAAGGGAAGTCACTCTTTTCTGGGCCAGATTTCCATTCTGAGGTCATTGCAACTATTCTTTTTAGCCAGCTGGAGAGTGAAAGGCTTATAGCTCAGACTTCTCTTGGGTTAGAGAGCAAGGGCTTTAATCTCCAGGGCATAGTGAGCAGGACTCACGCACTTGCTGTGGACTCAGCTTGCAACCAAGCAGTGTAATAAAAGCCTTGTGTTTACCTTTTAAATATTCACTCCTCCCATTCTGTATATTTTGGGGCCTGAGCAAAAGACCAAAAACACTTGTAGAGGTATCTTGAGGCGTGGCATATTGTCTCCACCTCATCTGGGGATTTTTCTAAGGCTAGGCATAGAAATGTCCAAAAGAGGAACTCTAGGAAACCACAAAAACTGTGTCCACTGGTATTAGGGCTTCCTGGGGCTATCTCTGAAACAGAGGAACAATGACCCCCAAACTGGAATTCATTGAAGGGTCAGAACCTTCAGGTATCTTGATATTTCTCAATTGTAGATTTAACACCTGTCCACTCTCAAGCTCCAAGAAAAGTTCAACATAGCTTAAGTCTTTCCTGCATCACACCCATCCCATGCCTCAACCCTGCCTATACTTTAGGGTAGCTGGAAGGAGCTTCAAACTACTAATTTCAGGGCATTTCCTGGAGCTTACAACATGAGTATAAGTATATAGACTGTAGAGCCTCAGGAGCCAATTCCTGGAGGACTTTCTGGGGCATCAGGAAGTCTCCAGTTATATGGCAGACTGCACAGATCACAGATACTGAAGCACATACATAGGTCTGATATTTTGGAAATAACCTTACATTGGCTTAAGGCCAACCTAAAAACGTCTCCAACTATAGGTGTCAAAGGACTTGGATATTAAGTCTCGAGGCTGGTGGAACCTAAGTAAGAAATCTTACCTCTATTAGTTTTACTACTCATAAAACTATCTTAAGCTTCATACAGAAAAAAAAGGAAGGGAAGGATAGAAGTTTGGTTACATTGGGGTACAAGTTAATTGGTACATACACTAAGGGAATGGAGACAAGGATTAAAGGAAAGATGGAAAGGATGACTGCAGGGATACAGATGGGGAATCACCTGAGGTTTTGCAGGGAAAATAGGAATTATTGCCTCATTAAAGGGGAAATATTTGAGAGGCTTTTGGGAGCTAATATGAACATTCCTCTGACTTTCCTAAGAATGAGGCTGGGATAGGTCTGGGTCAGCTTTGGAATCTACTGGAAAGGAAATTCAGACATGGACAGTAATTACTCTTTCTTGATTGTATTCTTCTCCCAAGAGTCTTGGAGGATTTATTCTCAGACTCAAGGCCCTTCAATCCATACTTACATTATGTCCTCATGGACCAACTCTCTATAGTATACATTTCCCTTGGAAGTGAGTCTAGAAACAAGTACTTCTATTATAAACAAACAGAAAGCCAAGAAAACAAGCCCGCCCAACCCACACCCTCAAAAAACCCCAACAAACTTAGTGCTGCAGAGGATGAAGCAAGATGGGGGAGAAAAGGTCTTTCCCATGTTACCTAACTACTAGAAATGAAAAAGAACAGTAGAAAATGTTTGATTTAGAATTCTCTGGAGAGTGAATACCCATCTGCCACACTGATTCTGTGACTATAATTTTAAAAAATATTTTTGAACACCTATAATGCACTAAAGGTAAGCACTGTGTATGAATAGAGGACTTAGGCAAAGCCTTGCATTCAAGGAGCTCACCATTTATGGGGGGGGGGAAACTCATGAATTATAATAGCAGGACCACTGGGTTTGGGAATACGGAAGTCTGGGCCTGTATAGAGAGTAATGCTTATAAGCACAGAAGTAGGTCGCTGCTGACAAAGGATGTCTCTGGGATCAGCTGCACTTCCGGATCTCCATTCAAATATGATACGTTAAGGTAGCAAAAGGGTGCAGCTGAGCTCTGCAATAGATTCAGGATACAGCTGCTAAATCTAGCTACAGTTTTTTTGGCTCTAACTGGGCTGGATTCTGCCTAGTGGCCAAAGGCTGCCAAATCCTGATTTAAGACAATTGCCTTTCCAAAGAAAAATAGTTATAATGAAAATAGCTTATGTCTTATACAAACTCTCAGCAATATAACAAATATATTACTTTTAAATAGGACCCATAGTATTCTGTTACATATGGACTATCATAGTGATTTAAAAGTTATTTCTTCTTGTTTCCATGAGTTTTATAATTTTAATAGCACTTATTTGACTCTACCCAATTTTGAATTGTTTTACAGCTTGTCTGAAAGAACTTGTGACAACATTTTAATTGTTTGACCTTGCCTTTATGATCTGAAGCCATAACTTTCCTGAGCCTTAGTTTCATCAACAACAAAATTGGGACAATAAAGTCCAAACTGTCAGATAGCATCAAGGTTTAAATGATAGATATATTTGGAAGCAGAAGCCTTTCTGGAAAATGGTCCCTTTTCTCAGAAAAAAGTCTTACAACCTTGGATCTTGAACTCAAGCTGCTATATCCTGGAGGAGTGTGAAGACAAGATGAATCTTCTTCCTGGATAAGAAAAACATGAAGAGGGTAGAGAAGGGAAAGAAATAAAGGTCACCTGGCTGTGACAGAGTACCCTACTGATATCCAACCCTGATTTGGCTCATCATGGTAGTATCCCCTAGCTCTTACCCTACTCCATCCTCTCACCCCCTCTCTCTGTTATTCACTTGGCTAAAAATGTTAACTTTACTCAGGGACCATCGAGAAAGAGGCGAGCACATGACATTGTAAGAGCCTGATAAGAGGGGCACAACGGGCATACAAATCTGACTCCATCTTAAAGCTAACCCTCCCTATTAATTGAAACTGGACCCAGTTGTCCTATTTCCCTCAAGATTAAGGACTGAACAACAAAAAGGGGGTAATTATAACAGAGTGAAATGCTCTTCAAGTCTGAGTTGTTCCAATGGCCTTCAGGCTTCTGCTCAGTCTTGCATATAAATATGCTAATCATTAGAGGAATTCTGCTTGCTTCAGTTTTACAAAACCAGCCCCTTAACCAGAAGGTGCCTCTCCTGAGAAGATAAGTACAAAAATAATGATTATTTATATTGATAAACAGGAACCCTGATTTACAGGAACCCTGTGTCAAATCTTTCTTGGACTCTGATGGCAGCCAGATGTCTATTGTCAATCACCTCTTGCCCCTCCCATTTCCCCTTGCCTGGACATAAAAGAAGTGTGAACACTGTACCTTCTTAAGATTGATTTGAGGCACCACAAGTTCTCCTGTCTTCTCGGTTGGCACCTTCTCAATCAATAAATCTCTCCTTACTCCCCCTCCCCCCCCCAAAATGTTAACCTTACTAAATGAAGGTATACTACTCCTTCAGTGGAAAAGGGAGAGGGCCCTGAAATCATGAGTGCCTCATTGTAGAAAAGGGTTTTTGGACTTCAGCATCTAGTAAAGTATTCATGGGGTAATGGGCATAGACAGTAGGAGGCTGAGGGCATGTGTTGGGGGGTGGGAGTGGCCTGGGAGTGGTCAGTGGGGGAAAAAAGGAAACATATGTAATACTTAAAACAATAAAGATTTTAAATTAAAAAAAGTATACATGGGGTGTTGGTGCCCAACTAAGGGCCAGTAATCAATGTTAATATAATAAGGTATTTTCTATATATTAGGACACAGATATATAAGCATGAACATTTTTACAAAAAAAGTAATCCATTTCATATACATTTGGATAGACAGAACTGTCCAACTTTTTAAAAAAGATTAAGAGTTTAAAAAACCTACAGGTTAAAAAAATCTATTCAGTTCAGCAATTTAAAATTATTGAGTTATGGCAGTACATTATTAAACTTCTCACTGGATAAAACAAAATAATTATGTTGAATTTTCTTAATTCATTAAGCATTTCAAAATTTGATAATATTGTTTAATACCATCTGAAATTACCTATACTTGGACAATTCCCAGCCAACGGATTTATGGGGCCACTTTCTCTATATGTATTATTGTTTTACCCATTTTTTATAATTTCCAATTTATTTGTGATTCAATTGATTAAATACACATTTCAAGATATATAACAATTTCCCCCACATATGCCAGAATGGAGACTAAGGACACAAGTGAACATTTAACTTGTTTAAACATGTACTGTAATACCCATTATCATTTTCATAAAAAGTAATGACTTTCAGTTATGAGAAAGAGATTTATAAGCTAGCAAATCTAGAACAAGTAGCAATACAGCAAATAATTCAAGAAATCAACCTCAGTAATACATATGTCTATTTTATTAAAAAAGTTACAAACAGGTGGACTGCAGGGTCGTCTTACAAAATGACAAGAATGAAATCTATTGGAAAAATTTTACTTTTACAAATCTTTATAGGTCATTGTTCAATGTTTGTACTTGTTATTTGATATTTTTAGCTTTCATTGATAAAGTTACAGTACATTAGATCCATGATAATAGGCTACATGATTTTATTTGCAGAGCCCTACTGCAGTGATTTGAACAACTCCTAAACAGATGCCATAGTAAAGACAAGACATATATTGCATTTAATATTAATTTATTTTCCTAATAAGCAACTTGACATGCAATCTATTAAGGAAGCTAAAATAACTTTTGGTCCCTTTTCTTAAAATGTGCTGGAGAAACCACCTTTAAATCACTTTCCCCTGATTCCTGTGATCCTAAGTGAATTCAAGTTAAATTTGCTGCTGAGGTTAGTGACGGAGAGAGATAGGGAGGAAGGAAGGGAGAAAGGGAGGGAGTCAGAGGAAGAAAGAGAGGAAATGAGTGAGAAAAACTACCCATAGGAAAGAAACTGTATAAAAAATCCATCTGCAGAAATTTAAATCATCATGAATTATTTGATTCCTTTAGATTTCACACAGCTAATAAAGATGAACCACAATCACTTAACCAACTTTGAGTGTTTGGTTTTAAGTTTGGTATTAAAGTGCAAACTTAAATTAGGTATTCATTTCAAGCAGTTAATAAATAAGAAACAATGTTTTGCCTCCACCCTTATAATCTCAGGATAGATAAAATTCAAAACTTAAGATCAAGGGTTCACTTTGAGGGAATTTGATCAGGAATCAAATGCAACACGATTTAAAAAAAGGAAATCAAAGTTTAATCAATTTCTATGCAATAATTAATGGTCATGCTGACCAATAAATCACATGAATGTAGATATCACTTTATTTGAACATCACACACAATATAAATTTAAAATTGCCACACCCTTCCATAAACCATCACTGCATATATTAGACCTTTCCTTGACAAAGTTATTGAGCTATTATTATAGATGAAAAGTATAGTTTTGGTTTTTTAAATTTTGTTTTATTTAGAAGCATGTTCAAATGACTAAAGCTGGGCTCCTAAAATCGAGAACTTTGGTGCAGTAGGTGAGCTGCAGTTATTAACTTCTGCAAATTAAATGCACACAACTAAATCAAATAAAAACCCAAAACCAAAATACTGTCAAACTTACAAAATGTTAAAATCATTGCTAGAAAAGCATTTGTCATGATGTTAAAACTGAACCAAAAGATTATTCTTTATAAATTTCCTTTCTGTTTCTATATCTGTGTTATTGATAAAATGTTCAAGTATTCAGACAAAATGTGCTGATTAGGTAAACAACATGGAAGGCAATGGCTATTAGAAGCACATTTGAAAAAAAAAAAAAAGCCCAGAGACTTGGCGCTATCCTCCCGTTACACAGATTTTCGTCTCTACTACGAACATGCTTCTTTAAAATAACTAAAAAGCAATTGTGATAGTGCAAGAAAACTTTAACAATATTGCTTTAAACTATTATTTGGAAAGACAAATATTAAGAACTAGAAAGTGTATATGATTTTACTTGAATTCAATTTTACATGTGCAGAAGTCTATTAGATGTCAATTACAAGCCTGATAGGCAAAGCTGAGCTATCTCTGTTTAGATATACAATTAATTTACCATGGATACAATATCCCTTTTCAAAGGCATTGCTATGTAGGTCATAACTAAATTTAGAACTTAACAGAAAGGAAAATGTTACTGCTGCAATTTGATGCTGTAAATGAGATTAACACATGTGAAAACCTAATGGAATCAAATATTTAACTCTTCAGCTAAATGCTCTACAGTCAATTTCAAATATCAATTGTGACTTTCAGAACATGTTAACTACAAAAATACATTACGAACTGCATTTGAAGAAAAGGGATATTCCATCCATTCAGGTGAAAATGTGATATTTAGTTTCTTTTTACAACACTGCCACACGTAAACAAAGTCTCAAAGTATTAACCAACCATTTAAAGGAGAAAGATTTTACAAATAGGATGAAGCACTGGTACGAGGTAATATACAGAAGTAACCATTTGTTTAAGGCTCAATTTTTTTCTCCATTATAACTTTCTTTTAAAAGGCATTGAGTAGGTAATACTGAGTTTGAGTATTTAATAAATACAAGTTGAGAAACTGATTAAAGAAATCAATTAAAATATTAAAAATTAATTCTTGCATAATAGCCATCAATAAGAACTTAGAAAGCTACAAAAGGACTGATTGGTAAAGAATAGATTTTAAACATATGGTAAACGTGCTAAGCATTTCTATTTAAGGTCAATGGATCTTGAAGGCCAAAGACCTTATGCACTTAATTAGATGTATGGCAACATGCTGTAATAGAGACAGGTTTACCAAGGCTCAGTTCTGCAACCCAGGTTGTAAAGTTCTCCAAAGCAGCATCTGTGCAAATTTCCTCTGAGTTTTATCTGCAATTAAGATAAAAATGTCATAAAAATATAGTAACATAGATTACCGTTTAAAATGAGAATACTGACAACATATCTATAAACACATGGAAGTGGTATCAGAATAACTATCTTAAGGTCAAATTGTACTGTGTTCACCATCAGTTTAAGTAAAAAAGTAATTTTCCATGGTCCATAAAAGTCACTAAAAAGTAGAAACACTCTAATGATGCATTGGATATAATATACTGCACATATGTAACTACCCTAGTTTATTTTTTAAATAGTATTATATGTCATGCTTGTATTATACATCATACAATATAAAAATGCTCTTACTGGTTTAAAAAATGATCTTACAGTATAAAAGTGGCATATGTTATTTCTACTTTGAATTTGATATGTTTATTTATTTATTTTTTCCACTGTGTAACCCATTTCAGTGCCTGCAACCTACTGGCAGAGGCTGGGCAATGGTTCCAGGCCACAGTTTGCTCTGGCACGGGGCACGATGAGAGACCCAGGGGGATGGGCCTGCCATAAATCCAAGCCCATGCGCCTTGATATGTTTATTTTTTAATGGAAAATGGTATTAGAATTAAATGCATACTACTTATATGCTAATATAAGTATGCGAACAAAACTTTCCCAAAATTTAGGGGTTTTGTTTTTTGAGAATTTAAAATACGAAAATGTAATATCATCAGGGTCTAGCTATTGAACACCTGCTAGGTGCCCTGACTTGAGATATGCTCGTGACTGGAGTTCATACCTTCCACTCTGATCTGCCCTTTTTGGGACATTCTACCAACCATAGGAACTTCTATGATTGGGATGTCTCAGTCTCTGCTCTTACAATTGTTAGACTTCTGTCCTTCTAATTAATATTGGAGAGAGGGGGTGTCCATTATTCAGACACAATGTCCTGTAACTGTGCTGGGTCACTAAATAGCTGCAGAGAATGGAATTACATTTATATCTGATGTAAAAAAAATAAAAAATGTTAAATAAAGCCAAAAAAACAAACAGTAGAATAGCAACTATGAAAGACTGTCAAGTGAAACCAATTTAAGATAATCTAAGGGCTCTACCAATGTTTATACATGCATAATTTCAATGTGATTTGACAGCTACACTTTTATTTGTATTCAAAGAGCCTGAGAGAATTCTTTATTGGAAGCTATATCATAAAATAATTATTTTTAAAAAATGTCTCTCTGCTCATTGTTGCAATTCTGTCACTCAAATACATTAGGAAAAATAGGCAAAAGTTTGTCTCTTTAGAAATTATTATAAAAACATTTTTTCCAATTAAATTGAAAACATTTTGCATTAAAGGAAATTGTTATTTGGGACACTGGTTATTTAAGTTTGGGCAAGTTCAGTTTCCTCATTATTAAAAAAAGGGTAAAAATTCTTTCACCAGACATTTGGTAAATATCATAAAATATGTGAAAGCACTTTATCTGTGAAATATAAGGTAGCTTTTCATTTCTCAACTATGTTACAAATTTCTACAAGGTCAGGATTAAATCTTTGATACCCAGACTAAAGACCATTTCATTTTTCTACCCTCATTTGAATTTTCATACCTATTTGAACACAATATGTCACACATGCAATTCTCTGGGAAGTTGTTTCCGTAATCCACTGTAAATTTTCCTCAATTAATGTGAATCAGTAAGTTTGCTATAAATTTTAATCCACATTTTTCAAATTAAACAATTATAAAGATTTTGGATTATCAAATATGATTATGTCTCTGAAACAGTGAAAACTTGTATTATGTGATGATTTAATAATTCAGGCATTCTCTGAAATTAGATTGAGGAAATAGTGATTATTTATTTCTAGCCAAAATAAACCCTAAGAATACAAACCAGCTTATTAACCATGATCTACATTAAATAAAAGGTGATATATGCATTATTTCCCACCCTCTAAAAACCTGGTTAACATTTGCTCCATCAATATTCCACAGGTTGACAATACTCCAGTGAACTTAAGAGACATAGATAAATTCTGGGTCATACTTGACAATCTTAGTAGGAGGCATACCTTTAAATAAACAAAGTATTAATACCAGCTACTTTCGAGAGAGTAATAAATTTTAATTCTCTGGAGCAATAAATCTTGAAGCAAAAACTTATATTAAGCAAAAAGGACAGTCTCAGATTAGAATTTCACAAGATGTAAAATATAAATGTTATTGCTTCTCACTGTGACAGCAAAATTTTCACTGTACTAACAACTCTCATTCATTTAAAAAACATTCTAGAAGCTTTATAGGCAGCTGGTCAAACTCATATTTTTTAATTCCCAGGATACTGCAGCCACACTGCAAAAGTATGACTTGCTTCTTGTAAGATAGAACACAAGTGATCCTTGTCCTCACAAGTTTCCAGCAAGACACCCAACAAATCTTAACTCTGGAAGCCTCTGTTTAAACTCTTTTGTAACTGTTTTCACTTTTTTCTAATTAGATTTTGTTATGGAAGAGCCAAAGAAAAATCCTAAATAACAGGCCAAACTTTTTGCTCAGGAAATTATGAAATAGGGTCTCCTAAGTGGGATAAATTGGTACATGAGAGTACCAAACACAGAACTGAAAGAACAAAGACCATTATTTATGTCAGCATGAAGAAAAAGGGAGATTCTTGATTCAAGACTAGCACATCATTTCACATGGCAGCAGAATGCTTGGGATTTTAACAAGGGCTCCTGAAAGGCTTAACAGTTTATGAGTGACTTTTTAGGTTAGCTGCACTTACCATTTCTAAATATAATGGTATTTGTTGGCATTATTTTTAGCAAATATAAATATGCAATCATAATTGATTTTAAGTTTTTTTTTCATTTTAGACATATGATATTCTGGAAATTCATCAAAAAAATTAAAAACTAAATTTCCCTTCACATTTTTTACTCTGCATTTTCATATCCAAGATAAATATTGGTTATATTGGCAAAACACTAGGCTAGAATTCCGTTGATAGAAGCTATGTTTTTGTTAAATATCTTGTTTGTTTCTCTATCCTAATTTGCATAATAATCTTAAAGCTCATTGGGGGCGGAGTGGGAGAACTGGGTAGTTAAAAGTGCTCACCTGTCACCCATTAAACACAGAGCAAAAGCTGAACTATGGAAGAATCCTTGAATGAAAGTGGAACATTGCTTTACGGAGAACATGCACCCCAATAATTTATGGTGGACCCAGGGTAGGAGAGAAGGGATAAGCAATTTTTCTTATGTCCTGACCTAAGATAAAATCTCTTTAAGTTTAAATTAATATGACGAGTTCGATTCTGAGATCTCAGATAGTATGACCATGTCCACTGATAATAAGCAGTTAGCAGTGTGAGCCCAATGATTTGATCCTAGCTGCTAACTTTGAATTAGACCAGGTAGGGAGGGCACTGCTCCCCTCAACTCTAAATTGCTTTTACTGTATCCAATATTCCTAAGACTGTGGTTAATCAAAAGAATTTGGGGTATGTTTTTTGATAGGATAAGTTTTTCTTAATGATACTATCTTCTGGATTTTAGAATTCTACTGAGAAATAATCCCACGAGGGGACTCTTTCCTGTAGTATGGCTAGAATACTTCCTCGGTGGCAATTCTCCAACTCCATGATGCAATTTTTGTTAATTCTACTGATGGTTCATTCTAAGCCACAGAGGTAATGAAGTAAAACTAAATGGCTCCCATGCATTTTATTCTGCAATAAAAGCCTAATCTGGAGGTTAAAGGAAGCAATTAAAGAAGGGACAGATATAAAAAAAGAATCATTCTAATCACCAGACACTTCCACACCCAGAGCAGGTCTAACTAGGCACCTATTCACTCTAAACAGTCACAAACCATGAACCTTGTAGAGGCTAGTAAAGGTCTGAGAGAATGAGCAGTGCAGAAAGGACAAGGCAACTCTGTTCTCCCTTTCTACCCTAGGGCCATTGCAGGTCTTTATGGTACACACTACCACTAAAGCATACTTTCTCCTCCATTCAGAGCCACCATGCCACAGGCTCATTTTGAAATGGATGACAAATGAGCATTTAAAATAAGCTACTTTCCCCACTCAACGTGATGTGCAAAATAGGGCTGGGGGCGGGGAGAAGCATCTATCTAAACTGTAACTTCTGCAACAGAATTCCTCCCCAGTGTTTTACTGGTATGATTAATATTTAACTTGGATATGAAAATGCCAGCACATTAAAGTATACAATGTGATTTAATTTTCATGTTTTCTCCTCACAATTGCTAACTCCCCAGCATATCATATCTAATTAAAAGATGGAAAAATAATAGAAACAATTGATTCCACACATTTATTTTTAAAAATTAAAATACTAATCAATTCCACTGTGTTTAGAAATAGTAAGGCCAGCTAGACTAAAATGACATTAATAAATTGTTCAGCCTTTCAGGAGCCTTTGTTAACATCCCAGGCATTCTGCTGCCATGTGAAATGATGTGCTAGTCTTGAATTAAGAATCTCCCTTTTTCTTCGGGATGACATATATAATGAACTGAGGCTGACATAAATAATGATCTTTGTTCTTTCAGCTTGATTCCTGGCGTTTGGTACTCTTATGTACCATTTATCTCTTTGGGAGAACCCTTTCCATAATACATGGAGAAAATAAGATCAAATTTTGCAGATCTTCAAACCATAGCGAAGAGCACATTTTTTTATTCCTGTTTATTTTTTTAAATAACTTTTGTCAATATTGGACTGAGATATAGGAATCCTTGAAAACTAATCTTTTAAAAATGTCTATTTGCCAAAAGGGTATTTACCAAATTATCACATTTAAGGGATAACTTTACTGCACTTCCCACCTTCCTTTCAGGAAATCAACACAATATTTTAGGATATTATTTTACTCCTTTTTGGCATTCCCTCTGTTTGGAATCACCTCTACCCATTGCCCACCCACTCATATCCTACCTATTCTTTTAAAAAATATTTATTGTTGAGAGTATTACAGATGTCCCCCCATTTTCCCTTCATTGCCCCCCTATTCTTTAAGGCCTGACTCAAATGCTACTGCTCCCCAATTCATCTAAATCACTGGTTCTTAGCCAGTGGGAATTTTGCCCCGTAGGAGACATATGTCCATGTCTGGAGATATTCCTGCTTGTCACAACTTGGGGGCGGGGGGATGCTGCTAAACATCCTACACCCACTGCAACAAAAATCCCAAAATGTTGAGAAACCAGCTCGAACTGGATGTGATCTCTCCTTTTCCTGACCACCCCTCAGCACTGTGATTTAATTATTTTATATCATTATGAGATTAACAAAACACCCATCATTCTCAACAACAGTATATATACACCAAAATAGCCATCTATCAATTATTCACACCAACACAGAGGAGCTAGTAAAAGCTTCTCTGATGTAGTTAGTAAAAGTGAAACAGGCTGCAACACTGACCTGGGTTTCTATTACAATGCTGCTGCACAGTAAAAGAAGTCCTTCAGTGCACTTGATGGCAAGGCTCCTCGGGTCAGTAAGGAAACCAGCCTTGAAAGCAGTACATAAAGAATCTGGCTCTGAATCCAAACTTACACTAAGATTACTGCCAGTGGGGTGTTGAAAGGTGAGGAAATAATCCTGGGAGCCATGCAAATGAACAGGTGTTGGGCAAGAGAGTGATGACCCAAATTGAAAGGTGGTAAGAAATAAATATGAGGAATTATTAGAAGCAATTCTTAGAGCATTAATAATTTTTCTCTTTCAACCATCACAGTACTTCTGACTTACTCGAGTCTTACTATTTCTAACTTGGACAAGGTACTCTTCATAATATTAAGGACAGCATTTCTCAAATTACCTTTACTTGTCAAAATTTGATATTCAATCTAGATTTGGGACTGACAGACTTCAGAATTTCATGACTCAAGCTACAGGATTCAGAATTTTTTTAGATAAATAGTGAGCAAGAGGTACAACCACAAATTTTCTGGACCTCAGATTACAGATTTCAATACACATCAGTTCAATCTTATTTGATAGAATATAAAAAATTACATATAATGTGCTTTGTTCTAAAAGACCTTGATCAGGGATTCCCGTTAATATTTTCAGAAACTCAGCTGATTAGATATTTTATTTCGTGATTCACTCTTTCAATAGTGTATTCTGCTTGCAAAAATGAAAACCAAACAAAAAACTACACAGGCAACTTGAGTCATTATTATAAAAAATGAGCACTTATTGGTATAAATATTTTCTGATTTTTAGTGTGTTAACAAAATATGTAAACAGACTTGGCTTGAAATATAAAAAAAATATTGAATCATTTCTGTAGGTAACCAAATGGATTAAAAGTAATTTGGTCACAAAAGTTACAAAATAAAATAAACTCAGGAAACCTACTTGGGTCCACTCCCTGCAAAAGGGAGTCTGTTTATCTCTCAATAAACTTTGCTTTCGCTTAAAAACTAATAATAAAATAAAATAAATTCAGAAATAATCCACAATAAGGCTTAAAAATCGCTTTAGAAATTGCCCATTTGTTGATTTGACTGAGACCAATTTTATTCTGTTTACTTTCCATAGCTGTCTATAACAATGATAGAAAGAAAATTGGGAACATTTTTGAGAACTGGTTGATTTTTTTAAATGATAAAACTAAAACATGTACGCTTTTGTCATTTGTCCAGTTAAAAGTGTCAGGAAGAGAAATAGAGCATAATGGTGAAGATATAATCACTATACAGAACTTGTTCAAACTTGAAGTTGGCTTACAGTTTAAGACGAGAGATTATAGAAACAAGAACATGAGTCTTGATCACCTATATACGCTTGTTACCACCTCAAAAGACTATAGTGTAAGTGCAACACTATCAGTAAAACATGTTGGACTATAGTCTGAACGGTGATTTTATAAGGTAACAGATGTGGCTAGGTATAAGAAAATAAATGAGTTTCCATCAAATTCTGGTATGCTGAAAAGCTGATGAGTGAAAGCATTTTGAATAAAACACTGTTGCCATCCTTCCTTTTCAAAGATGATACTACCTGACAGGAACTCGTCTGAAAAGACGAGTTAGGGGCCCTTAGTCTTTTGTCCAGGAAGTACATATGAAGCCAGACCTTTGATTAGAAATCATCACTGCGATCTGAAGTGCCTGTTGCCATTTGTAGCATTGCCTTCTAGACTTGAGGTCAGTCTTGGCTCAAAATAATCAATTCCATTCCTAATGTTGTCAGGCTAGTCTGGCATTTGCTATGATTTCTCAGTCATCCAGACTATTGGTTGTTTTATCTCATTATCTAAATGTTACTAAGTGAAGTTATTTGCCCAATTTTTATGTCTAGATTTAAAAATCATGATATGAATAAATAATCTAATTTTAAATGCTCAATAGGTATTATATATCAACTTTTCCAAAAAAAAGTTTAAATAACTCATTATTTAACTCAATGAAAAGTTTCAAGGTTTTGTTATTATTTTATTAAGTTTGTTATTTATTAAAATAAACAAAAACATTTCCTGGGCCTGTTCCTTCTAACACATCACAGATGATTTTGCCAGATTCTCATTTGAACCATATATTCATGATGAAGTCAAGGTACACTGTGGCACTATAATTTGTTATTATCAGAAGTGACTTAAGTCCCTCAAGTGCCAGGTACAGATGAACTTGATTAAATAATCATTCTGTTAAATCAAGCATTTGGGTGATTAGTAAATTGATGATTTCAATTATAGCAGCTCTCTAGTCAAGGATAGAAAGGTGTAGAGAACAAAACTAATCATCTTTTGAAATTATTAATGAAGGCTCTCTTGTGCGTTCTGGATGCTAAATCACCAAAACACTGAAAAGGTGTACTATCCTTTAACTCAACCCACCCCATAGGAATGTTATCAATCAAGCAGAAAGAGAACAGTAACTCACTTGAAAAAAATAAATCTTCTGATGGAAATACAAGCAATTTCTTACCTTTGTTTCCCTTATCTGTATTTTTCAGGCATTTGGCATTGAATGTTGACTATTTTGTGCAAAGGGAAATGTTACTTTAAAAATAAAGAAATTTAAGGTAGCACAATGTGTTTTAATATTAACCGGCTTTGTTATATATGATCAAAAACAAAACACTCTCTGGTTCATAAGATTCCATCAACAACTAACCTGCTCGGTATGGCCATGATTGAGGTTATCTTTTTTACTGGACAACACAAGTTGTACAACACTGATCTTGCTTCTCGGGCAGGGATGAATAGTTCATTTGCCTGACGATCTCAGCAAAAAGGTCATCCACCATTGATTTACTTTTTGCCGATGTCTCCATGAAAGGACAGCCCCATTCTTGAGCCAGAGCTCTGCCTTCTGAAGACATAACCTCTCTTTCTGGTTCCAGATCCACTTTATTTCCTACTAGGATTAGTGGGACTTTTTCATATCTCTTCACTCTGACAATCTGATCTCTCATTGGCTTGATATCCTATTCAAACAATTAAAAAGAAAGAAAAAATAATTATGCTGTTTGCATAACCATAACAGAAGTATTGCAATCTCATAAGAGCTCACACCTCAGTGAGTAAAGAAAGCTGAATCCAAAATAAAACCACACACCCAAATAGAGAAAATGTCATTTTCTCCATTAAAGTTGGCACTATATTATTTCCACAGACTCTACCTGCTGGATTTCTGTCAAGAATATAAAATGTAGGTTGCACACTAACGTTAGGATTCATTTAATCACTTCTTTCCCACAGTCTATACTGATTTAAAGAGTAAGTTCCCAAATATGATGAATCCATTCATATATAAAGGTGTTTGCCCATCTCCTTAAACCTGCGAGCTTGTCATCACTCCTCCTAACACTTGATATCCTAGCAAAGGATTGTAGCATCTATGCATTCCTAGCCATTTAGTAAGAGCACTTGAGAGAAAAGTGTTTAAGGTGGAAACAAAAACAGTGTCATGCCTAGAACAAAGTTAAAAATAGATTCTTGCACTTATATGTTTCATTTTAAATTTAATGGTATATTTTTATCTCAGTAAAATTAAATACCTTAAAATATGTTAAATATAGTGGAAACTATTATAATAATGAGCAGCTCCTGGGATGGACAGGCAGGTGAGAATCTGGGTGGGTAAAAGTCATACTTTTCTTTGCCTACATTTGGGTTTACAACTTGAATTTTACCCCAAGTGTATTATTTTTTGTAAGTAGTTACAACTAATCACGAAAGATAAGAGCCTTAGCAATTCTCCAGTAGCATCAACTTGGGGGGAGGAGGTACTGATTAAAGACAATATCATAGATTTTATACTAACATTATACTTTTTTGATTTTTCATAACTTAAAAGTTTTAACTTAAATATAAATATGCGATTAATTTAGTTACAGTAAACAGACTATTCATAGGTAGGATGAAGAAAAAAGAGGGGGCTGTGTGAAAATTTACAAAAAACATAGTTATGTGATATTTGCAACAATTTTATATGATCATGTATCAATTCAATGGTTAAGTTTTTCTCTGCCTCTTCATGGAAACCCAAGTTCAGCTGAGAATCCAAACTTACGGCATTTAAGTTTAAAAGAGTTTAAGGCTCTGTTGAAATAACTGCAGAATTTTCACTCCGTATTTATGGCTATAACAGAAGTAGACGTAATTGAAATCCTATGAAAAACCCTTCAAAAAACTTCCAGCCTCAAGAGAGTCAGCTAATAGAATAACAAATTTCCCAAGATCCTTCAGAAAGAAAATGCCTGCCAAATAGCACCTTTACTACTTTTGGGGGGAAAATGCTGTTATGATATTCTTGCTTTGGAATTTAAGCCTACGTAAGATGGACTTGAGTTTGGTCAATATAACTTTTATTCATTCGCCCGGAATTATTATCTTTAAAAGAAAAAAAAAATCCTGCAGTGCTATATCTGGTTACTGAAAAAGTTCACTATAGTACTTTAAAATACTAAGAAAAGTGGAATTAGCACATTGCCTTGACTTAAAGTACTTAATGTCTCTTAAGCAGCATTAACTGAATACCTTTAAATGTAGAAAAATATCCATTTCCTAAATCAATGGAGGTCAATATAATGGGTCAATATGAGGTATTTTCAAGGAATAAATAGCAACATTTATTGCATCTCTTAAAATAATGTTAAACCTTCAGCCTGTCTCTTAATGGAGGACAGGACAGATTTTCCGAAGAAACTGGACCATCTCCAGTTTGGCCACCCAGCCAGGATTATAAATCTGCATTTGTTCAATGTTCCCAGATCCCCGTACTTTTGATAGTCAGTGTTATCAGAAACAATTTGGATAACTGGAGAAAAGGAGGGGCATTCTACATTTTTAATTAGTAACTTTTCCTTCACATGCCCCAAGTAAGTAAAATGCCTAGAAGGCAGTTCTCAAGTTCGTCTTGCAGCACTAAGATTTATGAATCTGGTTGAGAAACTTGGGTGAGCACAGAGAAGGGGTGGGGGAAAGCAACCACAAAGCAATTAGATATGCAACAGATATTAGGCTCCAAATAATTTTCCTTCCATAATGCTGTATTTACCCGAGATTATTTGTCAATGTTTTGTTGAGTATATTAATCAATACTTGTTGAACAAGCAACTTCAGAAAGTTATATTCCAAACTAAATATACACGGCATGACCTATTTCTTTTTCACTTTTCTTTGGCTTAAAAAAAAGTTTAAAATATTTGTTGACAGTTGTTATTTTACTACTCTCTATAGAAACAACCCAATACGTTTTCATGCCAGGGGTAACCTCAAAAATGCGCCATGTCTAACTTTCAAAAGCAAAACATAGTCATTAACGCACGGCTCAAGCAAACCAGAAGTAAAAGTAGGATTACCACACCCCCTTTTAACAAATTACAAGACTTGGTTTGGTTACCTGAAAAGACTGTTGATTAACGAGACTATAAACCAGGATGAAACCTTGACCGTTTTTGATGTAGAGATCTCTCATGGAGGCAAACTGCTCAGTTCCTGCGGTGTCCAGAATTTCCAGCACGGACGGGGAAGAGTCCACTTCGATCTCTTTGCGGTAGAAATCTTCAATGGTGGGGTCATATTTCTCAATGAAAGTCCCAGTGACAAACTGCACAGTCAGGGCAGATTTGCCAACCCCTCCGCTCCCTAACACCACCACCTTGTATTCCCTCATGAGTCTCCCCTTCACCCACTCCTGCACGAGGGAGGAAAAATAACGCCCCGCTAGCTGCGGTGCGGCTGGGGAGGCGGAAGGTGGGCGGAAATCTGCGAACTGGGGAGGAGAGTGCAGAGAAGCGGAGGGCCCGACGGGGAAAGAAGAGGAAGTTAAAGGCGGGGGGAGGGGAGAGAGCGAAGTGTCGGGGTGGGTGGGGATGAGATGGTAAATGCCCCTCCTATAGGAACTAAAGCCCAGGCAGGGGGCGTGGGGAGGAGGGCGCTCCCGGAGAAGCCCGGCGAGGGTGGGGAGAAGAAACGCGCCCCTCGAGGCGAGGGCTGGAAGCCGCAGATCTGGGGCCCTGGCGGGCAGGCGAGTGACGGAGGAGCCCGCAGCCGGGGGCTGCCCCCACCTCTCCCCCGCCCTTCACACAAAGGGGCCCAGGGACCCCGCTTCCTGCTCTTCGCTGTTAAGCTGGCCCAGGCCTGCGGGCTCCGCTCCCTTCACTGCCGCCGGGCGGGTCTCAGGGCCGCGGCTCCCGCGGGCGTTGTCCGGCCTGGGATGGGAGAAAGGGGCGCACGTTACCCGCCTGACCCCTCTCCCCCCCCCCGCCCCAAAACCAACAGCCTCCCCCAGCACCCCTCACCCCCCGACCGGCTGTCTCCGCCAACGCAGCCTTCGCCGCTTACCCTACTGTCTGCACCCGCCCGGCCGCCCGGGAGGCTCAGTCAAGCCAAGGCCATGGCTACGGGCCGGCTCCTCAGTCTCACCGCCGCCCCAGCGCCTGCTATTCGCAGAGGGGAGAGGGGCGGGTGCCGTCCTGGAGGCGGCGGCCCGCACCAGACTCCAGGCAAACCCACCTCTTTTTTTTCCTCACCCACCCCCCACCCCCCACCCCCAGCACACACCCGGAAGGGTTTCCCTGACACACTAGCTTGAGGTGCCCCAGTTCCCCGAGACTGGACCGGATCACTTCCGGTGGGGAAAGTCCCACCTCTTCGGAGCGAGGCCCTTGCGCTCGGGCCGCGCCCTGCTGAGCTAGACGGCTGGGGACTGTTTCTGGTCGGGGCTGTGGCCTTGGCAGAGGGCCTCTCGGAGGACCTCCAGCGCCCTCCCTTTCCGCGCCAGCCCGCAGCTGCTGCTGATTCTGCTGCTGCTGACAGTCCCACCCCAAAGCCAGTGAAGCCCCTCCTTGTCTCAGCTGCCCTCAGCTCCGCCTGAGTACTTGATGAGCTCGTTGGCCTGTGCAGGACGGCCAATAATTATCTAACGACCGGAGAACGCCAAACATCCCTGGACTAGAAGTCGCGAGGAACATAAAACGGCCAAGAAAGTTTATTCTCTTTGCTGGTATTTTTTTTCAAATGATAGTTTTTTCTAAGAAATGCATGCAAATTACCCCCAGACTTCACTATTGCTCTGATTTCCTATGTTTTGTGTTTTACTTAGCTGAGCCTGACAAATAATTAAATACACAGTACTTTTATCCTCTGACAAATCTGCCTTGACTCTACCAGCAAATGCCAAAAGTCACTCCTCTTTCTTGTCACCAGGCTCAGAAAACAAAAGGATTGCAAATAGACTTCACAGGTGCTCCAACTCAGCTTTGCCTCCCTTTGATTCCAACAAAGCTTCACAGCAGGAAAGGTAAACAGTATTCAGGGAAGATTTGATTGGAAATTGTTTATTCCTGCAGATTAACCTCTTTCATTCGTTCATTATCTGCATGCACAGCAATTTATAAGCTGGCTTTTTCTCAAGGTTTTTAACGGCCATCCTTCATAGTCATTGAAATTCCAAAGGGAAGGACTCTGGTGTTAAACACTAACTTTCTATTTTTAGATAAAATTGGTACTTCTTACATATCTTTCCCTCTGCCAACTTTCTATTTGTAAACTTTGTGTCAGATCCACAGGCCCAGAAAGCTAGGTTATATTTTAGGAATGTCACTCCCTCTTTGATTCAGGCACGCACCCAGAAACCTGTGAGACTCAGTGGCCAGACCAGTTAAATTGACTTCAAACTCCTTGCCTGCAAGCTCTAATGGCCAGAATGTATAAAAATATTACCAAACTCAAATTGTTAGATAATAGAAAACAGGCAAATCACAGTAGTGTAAAGAAGTCCTACTGTGTCTCTCCCTGAGTATTCCCCAAAGTCACTTACAGTATCCAAAGGACAGTTTAGTTCAATTTCTCTTCGGCCTAGGGCTGGTGCAATCAGTCCAGTGAAGTCCTCAGCTCTGGCTCCAGATGGTCCGGGTCTCGCCTGATATCTGAGACAGTGCCCTCTGCTGGAAGAGGTTTGGTCTGTGAGTTACGGGTTTCCCCATAGGTCACTGCTCCTTCCACATGTGCTGTTGCCTGATTTGGAGCTCTGCTGCCCATCTCCTTGTCTAGCTGTCTCCAGAATGTCTGGTGGAATCCACAGTGCTGCACCAGCCCTGCTTGTAACTGAGTCTAGAAATTCCTCTTATGATGTAGCAATCAGCGTTGAGCGGTCTGGCAACTTTCTGCACTGTTACTAAACTGCCAGAACATGCTGCTCTTCTTTTTGAGGTCATCCCACCTGTTGGCAATTCTAATAGCTCTGAATGTGTTGGTCAAAGTGTTTTGGAGAGAGTTCTTTGTTTCTCAACGCAGTAAAACATACTCCTCCCTTCAGGACAGAGTCCCACTGGGTTGCTCTCAGCAACTACAGGGTTGATAAATGTCATGCTCAGTCTGAAGATCCTTCTAAAGCAGTGGTTCTCAACCTTGGCTGCACATTAGAATCCCCTGGGAATCTTTTTAAAATCCTGCTTTCTGGGCCTCATCCTCCGGAAATTCTGTGTCTTTGTCACTAATGTTGTGGCCCCACCCCATAACAAAAAAACCCAGAATTTCCAGAGATGAGGCCCAGAAATCAGGATTTTAAAAAGATTCCCAGGTGATTCTAATGTGCAGCCAAGGTTGAGAACCACTGCTCTAAACTTTCTTAAGAGGGGGATTCATTACAGCAGCATCTAGGAAAGCAAACAATCTGGAAGTCATTTAATGCTCTCCAATTAGATAGATCAAAAGTACTGTGCGTGGAGTGTGTAGGGTGTGTGTGTGGTGTGCGTACATTCACCAAATTGGGATACCATGCAGCTATTAAACAAGAGAAGTGCCAATATGAAAAAATGGCCAAGATATATATGTAAGGCTGAAAAACAAGATACTGACATCTCTCTCTCTCTCTCTCTCTCTCTCTCTCTCTCTCCTCTCTCTCCCTCTCTCTCTTCCCCCTTTCCTCCTTTCCTCTCTCTAAGCATGTCCTGGGCTGATAATTAAAAAAAAAACCCCAAATATCTCCAAATGACACAAAAATAATAAAACAAATCAGTTAATCTTTCCAAGGGTATTTATTGTTAAAAAACTTCTTGTATTTCCTTTCAGGGAATAAACATTATTTATATGCTAGTATATCTATCAAACCAATTTCTATATGTAGTTTTTAAATTACTACAAAAGTAATCTCACTATATACAGCATTCTGTACCATGCTTTTTAAACACTTACTGTATCTTGGTGATTTTTCCATTTCAGAACATATAGATCTACCTCATGTATTGTTAATGGCAGAACCATGATTTAGTTAACCAGTTCCCTATTAAGGATACTGGTCGCTCCTAGTTCTTTTTACTGAATATCTTCCACACACCTATATCTTGCCAGCTAATACTTCAGGTGAATTTCCGGTACTGCGATAACTGAAAAAACTGATACAGTGGGGCCTTGACTTATGAGTTTAATTCGTTCCGAGACCGAGCTCGTTAAGGAGCTCGTTAAGGAGCTCCTTAACTCAAATTACTCTATCAACTCAATGCAAAAAATCGGCCAAGAGACAGCTGGTATCTCAAAGAACTCGTTAGTCGGGACACTCGTAAGTCAAGGCCCCACTGTACTTGCATTCCAAATTCTTCTGGTAAATATTGCCAAATTGTCCTTCAGCAAGGTCAAACTAATTTACATCTCTAAAAACAGAGTATGACGGTTTCTTTATAACCTCACCCTAGGCATTATTAATTTTAGTATTTTATAGCTATTGTTACTTGCTTTAGAACATTTTCAAGACGAACAAATGCTGGGTAGTGTTATAGAAGAATTTGGGCTTCAGAGCCAGATAATCCTAACATTGCCCTTTGCCAGCTAGATCTCCATTCTCTGATTTGTAAAGTTGAGCATAATAGCTGTATCTAGCTTATAGGGCTCCTGTGAAGAATAGGCGCTTAGCCTTCCAAACACTATCTGCTTAATAAATGTAAACTGCTCAAATAATAACTTTCCACCCACAAGGCTCAAAAATAGGGGGAGGGTAACCTCTCCAGAGAGTATGCCCTTGAGATTCAGAACTTTTGCTTTAATTCTGTATCAACCTCCACTCCAAAGTAACTATTGCTTGGACAATCATTTTCAAGAACTCAGACAATTTTTACCCTGGTGTGAAAAAAATCTTAGGGTATAAAACTATATTCAGAACACAGACGTTTCAGGCACATAATTCTCGTTTTAGGCAATTAGCTTGGTGCAAGTTTAAAGTGCTAAACGTTTTGCTTCAGGCACCAGTTGTTCACTTCTTTTATCCCTCCTTTCCAGTTTAGACGTCCTTCAGTTGTGAGCCCTGGAGCCATTAAATGTTCTGGATAATTTTCCCTCCCTTTCACCCTCCAAGTGAGCCCTCTCACCTTTCACAGTCCTGGGGGAGGCGGGGGGGAGCCCTGTTCTTTCCATGTCCCAGGGCTTTCCTTCTCTTTTGCTTGAAGTTGCCTTCAAGTTAGCAGAAAACTAGCAGGACATGTCCTCTTCTTTTTTTTAAAATATATTTTATTGATTTTTCACAGAGAGGAAGGGAGAGGGACAGAGAGTTAGAAACATCGATGAGAGAGAAACATCGATCAGCTGCCTCCTGCACACCCCCCACTGGGGATGTGCCCGCAACCAAGGTATGTGCCCTTGACCGGAATCGAACCCGGGACCCTTCAGGCTGCAGGCCGACGCTCTATCCACTGAGCCAAACCGGCCAGGGCCATCTCCTCTTCTTATTTCAGTGTTTTAGGAGGCCCCTTGTTAGCGATTGTCCTGAATTCTTTCCAGCTCCTTCCAGCCTCTAAGATCCCAATTGTCCCTTTCAAATCCCTCCTCCAGCTACACCAGCTGTTGGTTCTGCATGTAGGTCTCCCCACAGAACCAATTTTTATATCTTTTTTTATCTTTTTGTCATTATAAAAATTGTTCTTTGCAAAAAAAATGTAAGGTGTGATCCCACTAACCAAAGAAAATCACCATTATATTTTAGTGCCTTTCACAAAATTTTACTGAGAGTGAAAATATGTTTTTTAAATGAGAATGGGATCATATAGTTTTGCAAGCTGCAGCTTTCACTTACAGAGACGTCATGCCTGCACAAAGTATTAAAAAATACTTATAGCCTGTGTATGCCTTCTTCCCCATAGCTTTAGCTTTCCTACAACTCCAATTAGCATTCATTCACATTCAACCTTGCCCACCTGGAATCTTCATTCAACCAGTGGGATTTCATGGCAAGGTCTGCTTACCACAGAGGCCACTGCTACCCAAGCCTGGTCAAGAAAACATTCCTATAGAGCAGTGATGGTGAACCTATGACACGCGTGTCAGAGGTGACACGCGAACTCATTTTTTTTGTTTTTTCTTTGTTAAATGGCATTTAAATATATAAAATAAATATCAAAAATATAAGTCTTTGTTTTACTATGGTTGCAAATATCAAAAAATTTCTATATGTCACACGGCACCAGAGTTAAGTTAGGGTTTTTCAAAATGCTGACACGCCGAGCTCAAAAGGTTCGCCATCACTGCTATAGAGACACAAGACTCTTATTTTCCAGATGTGTCAGCTGAAAGAGTTAGTTCTTTGGAACTCAGTGAGCTACTAAATAGAGTGTATCTAAAACAGGTCTGAACTCCTTAATCATTTTCTCTCTTCATTTCATCTGTAATTTCAAAGATAGTAGATAGGAAAGCATTTTATAATCTATTAAGTACCACTAAATGTAAGGGATTAGTATTAATAACTATATTTTGTTGTTTATTTCTGCATGTGTATTGCCAATTTTAATCTGTTGTATAACCATACTCTTAATTTACGTGCATCTGAATCACCTGGAAATGTTGTTAAACTACAGATGGCTAGGCCCTGCCCCCCAGAATTCCTGATTCTGGGGCAGGGCCAATAATTTACATTTCTAAGTTCCGAGATAACACTACTGTTGGTCCAGGGACCCCACTGTAAGCACCACTGTTATAAAAAGTGGTAGGGCTTTATATTTGGATCTTCCCTGCTTAATATTCATTTATTTATCAACTCGCTCAATCATTCATTCAATACCCATTGACTGACTTTCTACTCTAGGCCAAGGACTTTGCTAGATAGTGGTAATGGAAAGATGGATGAGACACAGTGCCCGAAGAAGTTCATGGCCTTTTGAGGAACACAGACAATTAAATCAATATTTACATTACAGTGTGGCAAGTGTCATGATAGAAATATGGCAAGGGTGCTCTGGGAGACTCAGGAAGGGCACCAGAAAAGGTTTTTTGGAAGAGGTGACTGAGCTGTAGGCGAGGAGGCCAGAGGGGTTAGTA